CAAAGCATACGCAATGTGTACCCGAATTTCGTACTCAACCTTTTGACCAAGTTACTCTTGGACGGTGACAATGCGCCACTCTATCAGGGTCTGATCGAATCCGGTTATGGATTGGACTGGGCCGGACCGGTTTGCGGTATGGATCAGGGCGCGCGCACGACCAGTTTCCACGTCGGTGTTCAAGGAGTCCGTGTAGAGGATTTGGACCAATTCACCGATCGCGTGCGTGATATTTTGGCCGGTGTAGTGCGGTAAGTTTTTTTGTTTGATCCCCCGCCTATCTGTGTTGACGGTCATTCGAGGAGTCAGGTACTCGTTTCGGGATCCGTTGGAGTCACTCCCTCCTTCCCTAGCAAGCGTGAAAAGAAACGCAATGGTGTTTACACCGTCAGAATCCGTCCGCAGATTGAATAATCTGTTTTAATAAGTTGAATAGGAAAAAAAATACCTTGAAGCACTCCCAGTTTCGCAATGATTGCCGCTAATCAGATATGCTTATCCAGTAGTCTCTGCTGTAATCATGCATGTCCTTGAATCCCGGATGTTTGTTCTTCCACTCACTTCTCGACCACTGAGTGATGAGTACGTGCTTTTTTTACCGGGTATTTTCGAACGTCACTCACAGTTATGCACCACGAGGCAATTTAGAACTTGCTCAATGGTGGGAGATGAAGGAGCGAATTCACCCCAAGTGCTACTACCAGTTTCATCTAACCACATTACTTCCACGAGCTAGAAATAGTAAAGCGTGTGCGCTCCATCCAGGAGTGAGTATTGGTCATAAGGAATATTCCGGTAGAAATAACACCTCTGATCTGATAGACTGTCCTATCCCTTGAGGAATTCCACCTGTATGACCCCTGCCATTTGTTCGACTCCCACCGGTGGCTCCANAATTAGATTAAGGGCAACAAAAACCTCAGTCAGACGGTGTACAGTATGCGACGACGGCTGCTACTCCTTGGTCCGCGGACTAGACCAACTATCGGGTCGATTAGAGTCTGCATTGACGGGATTGTCTTCCTATTTGTTATGGTAACTGATCGTTTAGTGCTCGATGAATAGAAAACAGAAGACTTAGTGCTCTGGCAAGCGTTCCTAAATTACTTTATTTATATTTATATTTCACACTTGTCTGAGGACAGACTGTGTGCCAAGAAAATCATGGTACAATAATCTTGATAAAAAGAAAATGTTCTATGATGGGCTTGTGGGCGGAGTACTGCCAGGTGGCCCAGGCCAAGGCAGGTGAATTTTCTTGAGGAATCCACAACCGGAGCCTTTGGCTAGTCAGAGCCTGACCCGCAAGGCAGCGGGGCGGTGTGTGAGGACCGCAGTCCATTGGGAGCCGGTGTCCAGATCATCGGATCATACGCCTTTCGGACGGAGTCAGACGTCCGAGGTGCCCAATACACCTTGATGCCCAATCGAGCCGAAAAAGTGTGGGTGTGGTTCGTACACCTCTTAATGGTTGGTTTGGAATCAGGGTTTTTAGTCAACTCCCTTAGGTGAACTATCAGTGGTTCACCAACCCGGTTATAGCCCCGGATGTCAGCTTTTCGTCCTCTCACTTTGGTGGAGGAAAACACTTCCGCCGCGAGAAGGCAGTGAGTAGGGCTTCCTTAGCAGAGGCTGTTTGAGACGCTTGGTGGCGTATGGGAGCATTTCGTGAGGTGCAAGAGAATTGTGACCAGCCGCAACCGTAGACACTCACCCTCGACCATACTGAGGCTTTCGAAGGCAGCGTTCCTAAATCGTCAGAAGATATCTCCCTGATTATTTGTTTTCGTCTGAATCTGATACGGGAACCAAACAAACAATACTGAGGTTAGACGCGAAGTTTTAGGCGATCACAGTCGCCCACTGGACCCAGTGTTCCACCTTTCATAAATAACGTTGGTTGAGGCATATTTTATACAGACCACCAAATTGATTGTCATAGTGTACGATGTTTGCCGAGGTAACTACCGGGTGGGAAAAAGTACACGGTGGTTAAACATTGTAACGTTGGGTTGGACGATACGACTGGACTAGCACAAGCCTTGCATGACCAACGATACGTGCGTCAACAGTGACCACGAACAGAACTCGACGACCCAGCGGGATAATGACGGTACACGGGTGCGCCCGACTGCGGTACCCCAAGGCAAGTCCCAGTAGAACCGGAACGAAATGTCCCTCGAAGCAGTACGATCCCCGAAACCCGACCAGAGAGAACAAGGAAGACAGGCCTTTAGGCGACGTTATATATTTCGCTCGACCATAAAAGTCGAGGATGGCGGACAACTCGTCTGGTCATATAGAGTTTGAGGATCGGTCATCAATTACCTTGGAAAATAGCTCGAAAGTAGTGAGTCATGGATAATTGGACCAATGAGGATCAAGTATGGCCGGTGGTGCGGTATGAGTCTTTTATGGCGCGAAAATCTGGAAATTCAAGTTTTATAAAAACAAAGAGATATATAAGGAAAATACAGGGAAATAGTCACTTTTATAGGGAAAAATGGTATTTTCCTTGTCATTAAACTAAGATCTGGCATGATGATTTGAAAACTCTGACCGGGAAAATTGCACACATAGGTCGCGTTAGGTTCCCTGCACGTGTGTGTGTCGTAAACAGTGATGCTTGTGCATCTACTCATTATCCTCGCAACCCCAGTCTCCAGAAATTCTCCATTTTCACTTCCACTTTGCTTTCACCGTTCCAATTGTTCCCCTACTCCCTTATCCAAATGAGTAGCAAAAAAAAACAACAACAACAACTGAAGCCACCACATGGAAGTGCATGATTAATGGTTAACTGAACTGAACTTTGTCCGTCGACTCTGATCTTCGTGAGCCCATCACATAATTAGGATCGTCAGTTTCATGTACGGTACATCGAATCTGGTTAGCCAACATCACCGTTTCGGTGCATGGTTGTATACATCCTGGTTCCACAACGTTCACTCAGACTTCCAGAGAATGTGTAAGGCTATGGGTTCCGACGATTTTACCCTCTCGAAGAGAACACGGAGATAAATTTGAACTGGCGGAGTTCCTGCACACCGGGATTTACTCACGCCTAATTTCAAACAGACTTTCTCCCCATAGTATTGTTCCATGGAAATCGGTTTGGAACTGAGTTTTACACCAAACGAGGACTAAAAATGAAGCAAATTGAATGCATGAAACGGCGTAAGCAAGTGGTATCTTTTTCTTTGCTATTTTCTCTTTCAATTTGTTCATTGCATCTGTTCATTGGGGTTTGATTCTCTCCTGCTTTCCTACCGAAAAAATGCTCTCGAAATAAGAAATAAATAATCATTTTTCCTCTGACATTTCTACTATTTTTGCACCCCAGTCCACAACTGAAATGATCTACACGTAACGGGTGTGGCTGTGCATGCACTGTGAGAACAAATCGGATGAAGATGATGATGATGATGATGGTGATCACGATTACGTCACATACGCACACACACACACACAGCAGCACCGGTATGTTTGTAACCGCATTTTCAGTGGTTCCGGAAAAATTCGATCATACCCTATGATGTGCCGTGCCACAAACGACCAGATATGTGAACAGGCGTTCCCAAACGATGTTGGCTGCACATTTCTCATCGGATTCCATTGTTGCGTAATGGTTCTTGCTGTAGAAGAAGAAATGATCACTATTGGTTAAGTGTAATAAAATGAATGTAGTGTCCCGGTCCGTTTGCGATGTGTAACTTTGAATCAGTTAGACGATCGATTGTTTCGGTTGTTGTTATTGTTTCCAGCGGTAAACGTTCAAATTTTGTTATCCGTAACCAATGATGTAACACAGTTTCAGTTGCTATATTTTAATTGCTTGCCTGGATAAAAGAGGAAGAAAGAAGATTGGATTGTTGACAGCAGTGTAAAGATGAAAATAGGGAACTCATGTATACTAAGGCTACAGTACAGAGACATTGAGTAGATGCATGCTCGTCACTGGTTAGGACACTCAGCCATATCACTTCGTGTCTCGAACCGCCGATCGTACAGATGTCTCGATATCCCCATCCATCGAGCATAACAAGACCTATGCGAGCAAGTCTCTTGGTCACGGTTTTCATACCCTCATATCATGTATTGGTTGAACCACCATGTGCTTTGGTCCGTCCACTACCTGACTCGACAAGCATCACGCGCTGTGACAATTTATCTAGTGACATACGCAACACATGCCCCATCCAGCCTTATCTCCGGAAGTCGACTACTTGCTCCAATGGGTGACCGGGACTACCTGAAACTCTGCGTGTAACATCAGCATCTCTTATCCAGTTACCCCACCAGATTGCGCAATGCGGCGTAGACAGTGGTGTTCAAACACCTAAAGTTTATCATGTAGTGAATTTCGTCGTCGTCGTCGGAGGAGGAGGGGAATCAACTGCAGCGTGAACGGGAAAGTTCGGAAGTACTGAACAGGTGTTCTGACCTAGTTGGGTCTCATCAACAGTGAAAATGCATCAATCCAACCGGAGTTTGAACCCGGAATCTCATAGGTAGAACGTAAGCAGACTGCCCACTCGACCACCAGGTAGCTGATCAGACCGTTCTTTTTTCATTTTTCATATACACCAAATATTTTCGGATCAACGTAAATCATCGTGCATTCGGTATCAATAAAGCACCCTAAGCGGTCTGGTTTTCTGGTTTGTTAAGCGGAGTTGAATGCTACCAGGTGCGTCCGCGGGTTGTAGATAGCGGCGGAGGATATCTTCACAGAAGAAGGTTAGCTGTGAATAAGTTGTGGCATACCGCAACAAATAAGCAGCCGCGAACAAACGGCGGTGGCACTACCGGTGTGTGGTGGGTTTCAGGCTGGTCACCTGGCTCGTGTTTAAAAGCGGCATAAGCCCAATGAGGGTGTCGTGACAAAGACCGATGTGACTGGCCTTTTAAATCTAAAGTCATTGACCCCCTCCGTCACTTCCGAGGCGAGGGATTATTTCCTGCTGTCTTGCAGTTCGCACTTGATTGTACAACAGCTAGAGGTGCGCCTTCAAAATAAAAAAGAACGCCGAGTGACTCTGGGGACGTTTCTCGTACCAAACTCGCAAGGAACTTCATGATCATGTCTGGAGCCGACTTATCTTTTCCAAGGAGCCAGCTGCAGTAAAGCAAAGTAAAATTAAATAATCAGTCAATGCATTCTTTCCAAGCTAAGATATGTTCAACCCATTGCCACTTATCTGCTGTGTTCGATCACGCAGTACCTTGAAGTGACCCGTAAAGATTGAAGGACTTTGACATGTGTGAGAGTTACTCATATCATATACCTGTATTATTCCAATACATCTAACCCCAGGCTGGAAGAATCATTGAGGTGGGCAGACTATGACCTAACGCAGAGGGTTAAAGAAACTGTTCGGATCTAGCTTCCGTTGGAGCTTCCCGGCGGGGCC